GAGTCCCGAAAACCAGGGGAGAGAGGTAGGTGCGGGGGAGGGGACTGCACACATATTACAAGTGATCGCGGCGACATCGCCGCAATCACTTGTAAACGAACGGCCGGATTCCCCACTTACACATGTAGTTCCGGGCGCCGGGGGACTCCACGGCGCTGCTGCCCCTCTGCTACGTGCCGCCCCGAGGCCGGGCCTTGGTGCCCTTCTCGGGACAACGGGCCTGCATACAGGACCCAGTGGCTCTGGTGAGGCCGCACTCAAGAAAATGGGGTACCTCTTAAAAAGGTGACTCAGAGTTTATGATCCAAGTGTATAAAGTCTAAAGAGAGCACCCAACCAAAGGTCTAAGAGTCCAAAACACTGTTATAATGATCTGAGTATTTTCCGTTGTTCACCAAGCAAATATTTAAACTTGGTGGCTGCCATTTCTGAGTTCTCTTTACCACATATAATATATGAGCCCTGAGGAAGTGGGAGATCTCTAAGCCCCCGTAATGTACTTTGCTTAAAGAAATCCACTCTTTTTTTGCTTTACTTAGAGGGTGCATTTTTTCAGGAGGTTGTATTTAGGGTAGTTTATTTTATTTAGTGTTCTTTGTATTTTTGTTTCACTTTTTGTTTACTTTATTGTTATTTTATACCATAAGCTGGGCACTGCCGTGGGGAACATATACCGATGCAGAACTTTATTTTTTAAATACCGTAAATCAGGGAGAGGGTTTTTCATGTGGCTTCAAGGATTAAAGTATAAATATACAATTCCTTTCAATAGCTTTAAGATAATAGGCCTAACTAGTGTATGCCTTATTTTTATTTTATCTATTAGGATAGGGGGTGCAGTGAATGCAAGGAGGTTTAGATACACACTGTTCTAAAACATGAATCTCGAATCCTTAGGATTACCTTGCACCTACGGTGGCTGCGAACCAAATCCTCATCCCTAGATATGATGTGTGTGAAGGTCTTAGTGTAACTTTTGGCCAACTTTACCACAATCTGCATAGTTCCACTCTCTAAATGGAAGTCAATAAAAAGTTAGGTATTGCTACAAATATACTGATTGTGTACTGATACCCATCACCTTGTTGATGTGTTTTGAAGTAAATTTAGCTGAAAAGTGTGTATACCTGTGGGAGTGAGAGCACGACACTCATCAACCATGCGACTGACAACATTATCTTGTTTTTCTTCTTGGCATCGTTAATGGCCAGTGGGTTGAGGATGGCAGACTGCCGGTCCACACTGATTACCACAGTGACAAATGCACATGAATACATAGACAGAAGCTTTAGGAACATAAGTATTCTACAGGCTATGTCGCCAGCCTGCCATTGCACTGTGATGTTCCAAATAGCATCCAATGGCATCACAATGAATGTTACAAGCAAGTCAGCTGTGGTGAGATTTAGGATTAAGATTCGGACATGTGATCTTTTTTTTCTGCTTGTCCGAGCAGCTGCCCAAAGAGCAGCCAAGTTGCAGAAGGCTGACAGTGTGAAAATGACAAATGTAATGATCACTCGCGCCTTGGCTGCTGGAGAGAAGGTGGGTAGCTGAAAATGGGTATGAGTTCCATTTGCTGAAGTAACATTTACATCCAAGTCACATGAGCTGCTGGGCCACTGTGTATTGCTGCAGCCTTTGATGCCAACTTCCTTAGAGACATTCATTTCTATTAAAAAGAAAAAAACATTTTTCTTAAAGATTCAATGCATTTGTTTAATTCTATACATTGAGGAATAAATATAAAACATACATCATTATTTCTATATATTGGGTGTTTCTTCAACTGGATGCTGCAGACTGGAGATTACATTTTACAAGGTAAAGGCAGGTTCAAACATTTGCACCATTTCTTTTCCAGAATTGCAGCAAAGGCTGTACCCTGAATGCAGCAACATATCTTGCTGTGACACCACATGTATCAAGAACAGTTGTATGAATAGCAATGACTGAATCTGAAAGCATTATCAAACCAAATACATTTTTATTGGCTTTTACTCCATCTTAGTATAACACATTGTATTGTACCCTTTTTCTTACTCATGTTTGTGCTCCTGGATGTTGCCTGCCCTGCTACATTCTGATATCTCTATTTGTTTTTTGCTATTAATCTATCTCTGTACAGAATAACAAGTTTGTGGACAAGTGGTTATATCCGCGGATATCTGAAACTTCTGAATTAACCTTCTGCACACTTCTCCACACCCTTACAATACAGGGGTGTACAGCAGTGTGCAGAGGGTCAATTCATAATTTTCAGAAGAGTTACCATGTGGTCACACCTCTTTAACAGCTGGTGTGCTATATATGTAAATATATATATTTTTTTTTTTCTCTCGTTTGCAGCTTGTTTTTCTATGTGGCTACTGGGTGCCCAACCCTCTTTCCTTGTTCACTGCACTCTAATATTCTTCAAATGACAGCTGGATTGCACCCAACTCCGACTTCTGATCGACATCTAGTAACACTCAAGCAGAAGCAGAAACAACACCACACTCTTTCATCACAGCTGCCATTTGAGCTGTACTATAGTGGCTAGTGTGTGGTAACATTCAGGCAGTGATCACATTTGGTGATGTTAATGGCCAGTGCCCAATTTGGGAATGTTCCTTGTATATAGGAGTAGAAAAGACAGACATATGACAGAATTGGGTCACACTAGGCATAGTGATTTGCCTTGACACCTGCTGCACACTGGCTTGTTCGCATGTGATGGGGAGTTGGATTTCCTTTTGGGACTTGGTCATCAGTACTGAAGAACCAAAAATAACCAGGGTGGATTGTAATGGCATGAAGGAGGTTAAGGATATTACAAACAATGATGAAGAAGAGTTTTAGTGGGCAGCATGGGCAGAAGAGAAGTGTGGAGCAGGCTGTGTGCGCTGGAGAGAACTATGGAGGGTATGACAGTGGACAGTATGTACTGGAGGGAAGTGCGGAAAGCATGACATTGTGTGCTAATATCTGCAGGAGAGAACTGTGGAGGGTATGACGGTGGACAGTATGTACAGGAGGGGAGTGCAGAGGGTATGGCAGTGGGCAATATGTGGCAGAGAGGAGTGCTGTGATTATTCAAGGGGCAGTATGGCCCCTCTATTAGACCCCTAATGCCACTGCTACATCCATCAGACAAAGATCTGCATTGAAACTGGCACTGACATTCAAAACCCCAAAGTGGACCAAGAAAAGCTTTGCTGCTCCTTTGCTCAGTTACAGCTAAATCCTGCAAATATATTGGCAGAGCCATTGTGCCATGTAATGTGCAAGGCTGAGCTTTCTCTTTGAAAGCCAATCCCCAGTCTGCATGAGGAACCACTGTCATTGCGGCAAGTGGAGTTGGCAGAGCAGCCATGGGGTTGGTGAAGGAGTAGAGTGGCCAGAGCTGCTACATACTTCCAGCTAAAGCTGAAAGCACAGCCATATGTAATAATCTAAAACACTGCACATGTGGATGTGTTTATGGTTAGCTGGTTTTATCCTTTGCCCTTTTTTTCTGTTTGGAATGCCAATACTGCATCTATCACATGCCATTAAGGTTCCAATAATGTACTGTATAAGAAAGGAACTGAAACAATGTAACTTGTGACTTTTTTATGCATGTTGCCTTCCACTTCCCTAAAGTGCTAACTGTGTGGCCTGCCTGTTTCTTCATGCAGGAAGCTTGCTGATAGTCCTTCTTTGTAAACTGCTGATTACTAGGAGTGGGGAGAGCTCCAGGGCCGCTGACATGGGAAGGCAGTAGCATGCAACAATATGCCGCCTAATGGGTTCCCCTATATTTGTTTTGCTTTGTTTGTAAACAAATGGTTAGCGTTGGGATTTGGGTTTGTGTTAGCCCAAGACCACCATGCCATTGCTGAACTGGTAATCACATGGCTTTGTAAGAAAACAATGCCATGTGATTTTATTTCCTCTCAGGCACATTTCACCTAAGCAGTCCGCATGCTGAAATGTAAGGCATATTTCTACAAAATGTTGCTAAAATCGCTGCAAAATCAGGTTAGGCAAAACCACTCCACTTATCCCTACCCATCACACTCAAATGCACAGTTTCAGCGCCAACCTGTTTCGAAAATTCCCAGGTAGATGTATGCAGTAAAGTGGTCTGTGAAGTGAGGCGCAGTGCTTAATGTCAAACATCCAATCTTCTCTAGGAGAATTTAAAAGAAATAGGAAGTCCTCCTGCACATTACTACATTATTAGATGTTTTTATTGAATACAAATTAACTTAACTTCAGTGTATTCTTTTTTCCTCATATACATTGTAAATGATTAGTGCATTTTTCATTTGAGTTCATAATTTTAAATGAAATCTTCATACACCAAGCGCTTGCTGTGCCAGAACATATCAGGTGTGCCACAGATGTGCACTATATCTTTATACAGCTACAGCTGAAATTACTGCTTGTAGAACTACAATCTAGCCAAAACATACAGAATGAATTTACAATAAACTCCCCTTTATCCGGCATCCACACGATCTGGTAGATTCCGGATAAATGTAGTTGCTTGAGAGTTACCATTAAAAATAAGTCTAACTAAGGCCATACCCCATAGTATACCATACCATAAATTCTGTATTGACTTCATATTAATATTGAAATGCAGTAATCAAAAGTAAATAGACACACTTAAAACAATTAAGACAATTAGGCACGTTTCCAGGATATTAAAGGCTGCAGATCAGAAGAACAGTGAGTAAGCAGGGGATTTTTTTTGTTCTGGTTAGATGAGAGTTCTAGTTAGTTGAATGTCAGATAGCTGAGAGTTTACTGTATTAAGTTGGTTGATGTTATTAGCCCCCGTATGTGATAGCAATAAAGTTTAGTGGAAAAAACATTTTTAAAAAATGTAAGTCCCCCCCCAAATTTAAAGTTACACATAAAAAAGAATAAAAAAACAAAAAAAATGTTAAAGTCCCCACCCATACATACACTCATGCAAACATGCGTCGGGGGCGCATACGTGCAAAAAAGACGATTGCGCCCATTACACCGCACATGTTACATATCGCCGCGAACGTCGCAGTGAGAGCAATAAGTCTAGGGCCATCAATCACTGATAACACTAAACTGATGAGCGGTAAAAGCTTTTAAAGTGTCGCCTATGTCCAATTTTAGGTATGGTAGTTTTCTGCGATTTCGCGGGTGCGCGCAATTTTAAAGCTTGACATGTTTAGTGTCTATTTACCCGACGTGACCGGATCTTTGATATTTTACCAAAAAAAATGGGTAATAATAAATGTTTCCTAACATAATGTAAAAAAAAAAATCCAAAAAAAAAATATATATATATATCTATTTTAACACAGAACTTACAGAATTAAAGGAGAACTAAAGTCAAACCTTTTGTTTTGGCTTTAGTCCTCTTTTCGGGTAAAGGAATACATTTAGGGGGTTATTCATGAAGGAACCGTATCTTCGGCTGATCCTTCACTCTCTTTGTCACTTTGTCATTTAAAGTGACACCAAACTCAGGGATTAAATCTTACAAATGCATTCAAGTACCTTAACTACTAACAGAAATGTGGCTTTATTTGTGTATCACTCAGCTGTACATCCTCAAATCATCTCTGAATTGGTGTCCTTCCTTCTGCAGGGTGGCTACTTTTGTTCCCCATGGTCCCTGTGTATGTTGTAAAGTAATCACCACTCCAAGCTCACTCCTGTGATGGACTACAATCTCAATACAAATTATTAAACTAAACATGAGGTTGTAGTCCATCACAGGAGCGAGCTGGGAGTGGTGACTACTTTACAACACACACAGGGACTATTCTGACTCCAATTGTTGTATTAGTGATTTATCCCTTGCTGAGACTTCTATGCCTGGCCTGTATAAGCAGATATAATCACTGCGGACAATCTTTATCAGATAGCTGAACTCACCAAATACCTTTTCATCCAAGATTGCTTTACTGCTTGCAGCAGGTTAGTTACAGCAGACAACAGGATACATCAGATGAATGAATAGACAGTATTTGAAAGTCAGAGATGGTAATGTTTCCAAGCATGCAATACAGATTAACATGTGGTCATGTTACTGACAGCCATGACACTAGAAAACGACTGGTCTCATGAAGAAAGGGGAAATACATCATAGATGGGAGGGAACACAGAAAAACATGGTGCAATAACCCAAAATGACCACAAGATGTCAGTATAATAATCAGCTATAGTATACCTATGAGCAAATGGCATAAAGAAAATAAACTATATGAATTTTCATTTAACATTAATATGAATGCTAACTATGACTATGAATAGTCGTATTTATACAACTGTGTAACAGCACAGGGACCATGGGGTGTTGGTTATGTGTTTAGATGAAGCACTGAGATCTTGAGGAATGCTGAGTTAAGTTTTACTTGCTTAGAAGAACATTACATGTATGAAACTGAGAACTGAAACTGAGAATACAACTTTCTGTGTATCATAGATAAGCATGCACTTAGAGACTAACATTGCACTACAGCGCCATCTACAGCTCAAAAGACAAATGACATTCAGTAATACAAGTATATGCTGTTTCCAAGATGGAGAACAAAAATAACCTTCCTCCAGAAGGAAGGACAGTGTCAGCATGAATTCAGAGATGATTTGAGGATCTACAGCCGAGTGATACACAAATAAGATACTTTTATGTTAATAGTTAAGGTACTTGAATGC